GGAGGGCCACATCCCCCTCGGCGTCCTCCTTTTCTCCGCTGTCCTTCCCGATGGCGTTCTCCGTCCTCCTCCCTGCCCCTGCCTCGCGTCGCGCAGCGCCTCGAGGCGGGCGGGTCCCGGGCGTTCCGCCGGAGGCCGCCCTGCCACTCAGGGCCCAGATGCCCCCAGGGGGCTCCCAGGAAGCTCCCGGGAGGCCCCAAGAGTGTCCCCAGAGGCTCCCAAGATGCCCCCTCCTCCTCCTCCTCCTCCTCCTCCTCCTCCTCCTGCTCCTCCTCCTCCGCCTGCCCTCCTGCTCCTCCCTCCTCCTTCTCCACCTCCACCTCCTCCTCCGCCTCGTCCTGATCTTCCCCGCCATCCCCCCCCCCCCGAGCCATGCAACTCCCAACACTCTGCGAGGCGGAGATCTATCCATAACCACCGCCTGTGGGAACATAACTTCAGGGACCCCAGCAGGCGGTGGAGACGAACGTATTCAGCTCCCCAGGGTCCTGACCATGTCAAGATCCACCGCTTGCCGAGGTCCCCGAAGATCGATCCCACATGCGGAAATTGTGGGCAGATCCCCGCCCCGGAAGAAACACGGATGAAAGGCGGGTCGCTTTCCAAACGTGTCTCTCGCCACAGCGCCGCGCACGTTCGCCCCAGCAGCTTTGAACAATTACGCGGGCGCGCGGCAGTTCGCGATCAAACTGCGAGTCTGTCTTTAGTACTGTGAGCATTCGCATTGGCAGCTCCGAGCGTTTGCATGAATGCAGGCCTGATGAGGATGAAAGGGAGCAGAAAGGACGGGGAGGGTTGGGTGGCCGGGATTCAGCTACGTAGGAGCAGCGGGATGGAAGAAAAGGCACATAAGGCGAGGAATATTTAGCCGTCCCTCGCCAAATCCTCCTCCTCCTCCTCCTCCTCCTCCTCCTCCTCCTCCTCCTCCCCCTCTTCATCCTCATCCTCATCCTCATCCTCGTCCTCATCCTCATCCTCATCCCCCTGCTTAACCTCATCCTCATCCTCCTCGATCGTTGTTGCCTCGCTCGCTGCTGTTCGATTGTCATCGTCCTCCTCTTTCTCTTTATCCTCCCTTGCTCCCTCAATCCTTGCTTCCTCGTTCCTTGTCTCCTCGCTCCTTGCTCCCTCATTCCTTGCTCCAGCGTTCCTTGCTCTCTCCATTATGCTCCTCGATCCTCGCTCCCCGCTCCTCCACCACCACCACACCTCCTCCTCCTCCTCCTTCTCGTCCTCCTCGTTCCTCCCCCTCCCTCCTCCTCCTCCTCCTCCTCCTCCTCCTCCTCCTCCTCCTCCTCCTCCTTTCCCCCACCCCCCTCCTCGAGTAGGCGCCGCAGCTGCCCCTCCAGCGTGGCCTCCGCCTCCTTCAGCGCCTCCAGCAGCCCCTGAGCCAGGCCGGCTGTAAGGCGCAGAAAGTGGAGGGGAGGGAGGAGGAGGAGGGGGGCCGACAGAGGAGAAGGACACCCAAAGACGGGACGACCTTGCGGCAGAACGTCAGCTTCAGGCAGCAGCTATCGCCTGGATGCCTCCTCCTTGGCCAGGATACGCGCTGCCAGCGCTCGCAGTCGGTCAGAGTCGACCAAGCGAGACGACCCAGCAGCGAGGGGGCCAGGAGGGGCAAGAAACACCGACTTCGACGGCGCTCTAGCAGGCGACAGCAAATCATCACCCTCAGGATTCTTTCTGTAATGAGGGTGGAAGCCAGACTGAAGTCTTGTGAGCGCCTGCTCTCCCGCAGAGCTCAGCTTCTTGAGACAGGTCTGGCCAAGCAAGACACATCGCCTGCTGGTGTATGCTCCGCAGGCAAAACAGAAAAAAACAGCGGTCTTTGGGTTGTGTGCAGGATAACAAAACCCAACTTGTGTTGTCTCTCGGTCTCTGCACCCTGGAGGCGCCTCAGGGCCGTGGACAAACCAGCACAACCATTCATCGGGCGGGACTCGCCCTCAAAAGAAATCCTGGAACATTTCTTACATCTGAAAGCGGGTCGGTCACCACTGAGTTCCTTCCAATCATGCCAATCAGGCGGGGGGGAACTCTAGGCAACCTATTATCCCTCGGGGGTCTCTCAAAGTTCAGCTTAGGAAACAGAGAGAGCACCTTCCCAAACATCAGCGCACACGCACGGAGGTCCTGCACCTGCCTATCCAGCCTCTCCAGATCAGCAGGTGCAGGCTGAGGATGAAGCGAGAGGGCGTGCTTGGCCAGGCGATCAGCGTCCTGGCTAGCGAGCGCTATTCGCTTCTGGTCTGGGGGGAGGGCCTGTATGATAGCATCCGATGGATGGGCGGGCGTATGCTGGGCCTCCCCCAGGGCATCAAATCCAGGAGATTGTTGCGCAGCACGACGGAAGCCAGCAAACATCTCCCGCGGGCAGAGCTGCGCCTCATCCGAGAGATTATGCAGACGCACGGCTCCTTTGCAATCACTGAAAGGGGAACTCATGCCCGAGCTAAAAGCACAAGCAGTGACCAGGCCCAAGTTTTCGGCCGCCCGGGGCGTTTGGTGCAACACAGGCCACACAGTGGCCATGAAACGGGTCCGAACCTGGTAAACATCCCCTGGCTCTAAATAAACTCCCGCGAAAGCAGCGCGGCTGAGTTCTAAAATGAGGTACTGGGTGGCCGAGCCGTCGACCACCAAGTCGCAGCTCTCACTCCGTTCTACAAACTCCTCGAGAGACAACGGCTGCCCATTCGCATCCTGGAGGAGGGGGTCCGACGCCACCGAGGGGGGGAAGGAGTCATCATCGGGCTGAGCCATTATCAATCGAGACCAAAACAATCTCTCTGCGGGCTGGCAAATACGGGCAGCCTCGATCAGACTAGGCTCAACGGCTTCGCTGCGGGCCGTTGCAAATCTCTGGATCATCGCATAACCACTGACGGTGAAAAATAAAGTCAGGTTGGCCGCACTTGGGACAAAGGCCGTCTGAAAAGTAGCCTGACTCTTTCAAACGGTCTGCCGTCCAGCAGCCATTTGAAAAACAGGAGCAGATCCAATACTTAGCTCGCGGCGGGGTTCGCTTCGAGCGGAGGAGGGAGCGGAGGGGGCCCACACACACACGCACACCATCAAACGAGGGGAGACTCGCCGCTAATCGCCTCTCGTGGGATCTCTGAACTCCTGACTGCAAAAGGCTAGCAACCATGGCCGGGCTGTGGTATAACAAGTCAACAACATTGCCCTTATCATCTTGCCACCTACTAAAACTAAGTGCCTTCCAGCCTATACGGTCTAAACTCAGAAGCATTCGATGGCCTGGTCCCCGAGAATTCCTCCACCCAGCTGGTTCCAGACGTAACTCCTGAGCCTCGAGGTTCCTCCAGAGCCTGATGTGATCCCTGAAAGAGAAAGGGCTGGTGGACGGCGTCGTCAGACTTCTCCACAAACTGGTCGACCATTGTCTGGCAGGTGCCGTCGCCTGAAGCCATGCAGGATCTCCATGAGGAGGAGGAGGAGGATGAGGATGGGCGGCAGGAGGAGGAGGAGGAGGAGAAGGAGGAGGTGGAGGAAGGCAATGAGAAGGAGAAGAAGGAGGGGGGAAGACAAACCAAGTGCGCTCGCGTCATATCTGACGCCCCTCCCTCCCATCCCTTGCCATGGCATAGAGATCCTCTCTATTCGCACAGTCGGATGTCGAGCAGCGGAATGATCACGAGAGGGTACGCGATGCATGGTAGAGCACGGCATTGCATGGCGTAGAAGAGCACGGCAGAGCGTAGCATGCCATAGCATGGCGTGGCATTGCGCAGCGAAGCATTGCATCACAAAGCATTGCAACGCAAAGCATGGCATCGCACCGCGGCGCAGAACATTCCTTGGGCTTCCCTAAAAGCTCCACAAGGCGGGGCTGATGGAGAGCACCCGCTGGCTCTGCTTTCAACATCGCTTTCTCAAGGCAGAAACGGGGCTCCCGCTTGATACTTCCTGAATACGACGACGCCCAAAGTGGGGGGGGGCCCGAAAAATCAACGATTCGACACGAATGTGCAATCACTTCCGATGGTTTTTCGGCGGGTCATTTTCTAGATGTTGGGGCCTCTTTGGAAGGACCGAAAACGCCGGCTTGCTCGGGAGCGCGATTTGGAACAACCAGAGGCGCAGAATGGGGCCAGCGCTTCAGCGGGAGCACAATTTTGAACAAAGAAAACAAGAAAACCCATTTCCCGGGAATCCGGCGTAAGACAAAATGCGCGGAAAGGGGGGCCAGACATCTTCCGGACGTCATCAGGGAAGAGAGGAAAGTAGTATTCATAGTGTAACTGTTGAGAGGGACGAGGAGCATACGAGAACGCGGAGGAGGAGGAGCAGGGGGAAGACGGATGAGCAGGAGGGGGGCGACGGGCGATGGGCAAATGTGGGGATGCGAAGGAGGAAAGTGGCCGTGGGCCTGCAAACCTCACAGAGATAGCGCTCCCCATCCTCCTCACCATCAGCATTAGCATCAGCATCAGCGCCAGCATCATCATCATCAGCATCATCATCAGCATCATCATCAGCATCATCAGCATCATCATTATCATCAGCATCATCATCGTCATCATCAGCATCATCATCGTCATTATCAGCATCAGCAGCAGCATAGTCAAAAGCAACATCATTACTACCATCAGCACTCTCGTCATCACCACCATCATCATCATCATCATCATCATCATCAGCATCAGCATCAGCATCAGCATCAGGATCCTCATCATCATCCTCATCATCATCGGCATCACAATAATCAGCATTATCATTCTCATCACTTGCAGCATCACCATCAGCATCATCATCAGAGGCATCACCACCACCACCACCATCATCATCATCAGCATCATCATCGTCATCAACATCAACATCATCACCACAAACATCATCATCATCATCATCATCATCATCATCATCATCATCATCATCATCATCATCATCATCATCATCATCATCATTACCATCATCATCATCATAATCATCATCATCATCACCCCCACCGCCACAATCACCATCACCCCCATCATCATTAACACCTTCAACATCAATAGTGTTATCGTCATTGTCATCGTCATCATCATCACCACCATCATCATCAGCATCATCATCACCACCATCATCATCATCACCAGCATCATCAGCATCATCACCATCATTTTCATCAGCAGCAGCATCAGCAGCGTCATCATCATCATCATCATCATCACCATCGTCGTGTCGTCGTTGTCGTCGCCGTCGTCGACATCATGATCAGCAGCAGCATCCTCATCACCATCACCACTATAATCACCAGACTGATTAGCATCATCATCGTCATCATCGTCAACACCACCACCATTACCATCACCATCACCATCATCATAATCATCATCACCAGCATCATCATGAGCATCAGCATCATCGTCACCATTATCAGCATCATCGTGAGCATCATCATCCTCCTCCTCATCATCAGCATCATCACCATTCTCAATCTTATCATCAACAGCAGCAGCATCATCATCATCCGTCTCGCTCCCACCTCTCTCCTCCCTCCTCCTCCTCCTCCTCCCTCCCTCCATCCATCCATCCCTGCCTGTCGCGGCTCTTCGAACGGCGATAGGGAGCATCCAACTACGTGTTCAAAGCCCCAAGCAACTCTGGTCGCTTCGAGACAATACCAGACCTTCCTATACACACCGTCGGTGCAAACCACGCCCGCGATGAAGTCAGCTCGCCCATCCACCACATGCCGCTGCCCAGATTCATTGCGCTAGGGAACCAGGGGGGGGGGAACCTGAGCGGCCACGAAACCACCAATATCCACGAACATGGCTGACGAGCTTGAAATCCTCGAATGTCGACCCTGCTCAAAAAGGCGTCCCGTTTTCCCTTGGAGTCCCTGCGTTTCCGAACCATGCGCTGCAATACCTGTCACAGCGTGGGCAAGCTGCCGCGCCAACATGCTTGCAACGCTCGCTGAAGGCGCGCAAGAGTCCAGAGGCCTCCTCCGACGATCGTCTGCAGCACGCAACAAAACTGGCCGTCTGGAGTGTCAGTATCCATGGAGGCCCTCGCACTGGGGGTCTGTCGCACCAGAGGAGCGCCATCCCCGGCCCGCTCTACCTCGCTCCCACCGTCGACTTCTGGGAAAGAGGTCTCACGAGAGAACCCCTTTTGACATGTTCCATCGGGTGCCCCGGGGCTCCGGCCCGTGGCGTAATCATTTGCTGGACTGGGCCTCGAAAAACCCATGCCTTCCAAAGACGATGCGCTACCGTGGTCCTGGCGAGCGAGGGAGGGAGGGAGGGAGGGAGGGAGGAGGAGGAGGAGGAGACTTACTCGATGATCGATGGATGCGTCCTTGCGGAAGCACAGGGGCAGCCCTCCATCGGCAACCTGCTCGAGCCGCGAGCCCCGACCTCAGACCAGCGTGTGCTCCCGCGCTGTGTGATTCCCCTTGGGGGCCGACGTTGGCCGCCCATGACTGTGTGCAAGGCTGTCTTGGAAGCTCGTGTGAGCGCTGTGTGCGCCCGAGATAGGGGAACAACAAGTGGCATGAGCATGAAAACTCGGAGGTCCGCGCGGATTTCTCGGATCGGCGCCGCCTCTGGCGCCGCCCCTGGCGCGCTCCGCGCGCCCGGGAGGGGGGTCCGTGCGGCTGCGCTTCTGGACTGCACGTCGGGGACGTGCGCAGCGGGGCCGCTCTGGGGCCTCCGGGGAGCCCGTGGGCCGCGCTTCGGACGTATCGGAGGCGGCGCTCGAATGCCCAGTAGGGCTTGTCAGGGTGCCCTTGCGGCGGGTCTGACTTGCGGGGCAAGGGGTTGTCGTGGTGGAGCTGGAACCAGGGAGTCGTATGCTCGTTTCCGAGTTGCGCGCTTCCTGCACGAAGCCTTGTCTGGTTGAAGCGTCGACGGGGTTTCCTGAAGAGGATCAGGAGACACGGCACGGGGAAGAGAGAAATGAGAGTGAGGCATGGCGAGGGAAAGGACTCGGGCCCGTCTGGGCTGCCTAGGGCCCTCTTGGGCCGTCTTGCGGGCTGGGGCCGTCTTGGGGCACTCTGGGGGATCTCTTGACATCTCTTGGGCCCGCTTGGGAGCCGTCTGTGGCGATCTTAGGGTTATATTGGGAGCCTTTTTGAGCCCACTGGAGCCTCTCTTGAACTCTCTCTCAGGCTCTCGGGGACCTCTGGGGCAGCCTGAGGCCGATATTCAGAGATTCTCTTGGGAGCCTTTTGGAGCCCTCTGGAGCCTCTCTTCGACACTTCTCATACGTTTCGTGGCCCCATCGGGAGTTCCACCGAAGTCCCCACTGGCTGCGTTCGCATGCGCCCACCGCACCAATTGTGGTACACCACTCGCACGCATCGTGGCCCCATAGGGAGATCCACCGACGGCCCCAATGGTTGCGTTCGCATGCGCCTACCGCACCCATGTTGGCACACACCTCACACTTCTCGCGGCCCCATAGGGAGCTCCTCCGACTGACCCAGTGGCTGCGTTCGCATGTGCCCACCGCACACATGTTTGACACACACTTCACACGCTTCGGGGCCCTCTAGGAGCCCCACCGACGGCCCAAATGATTGCTTTCGCATGCGCCCGCCCCCCCACGTTGGCACACACACACACACACACACATTCACACATTCACACATTCACACATTCACACATTCACACATTCACACATTCACACACACACACACACCACACACAACACACACACACACACACACACACACACACACACACACACACACACACACACACACACACACACACACACACACACACAACACACACACACACACACACACACACACACACACACACACACAACACACACACACACACACACACACACACACACACACACACACACACACACACACACACACACACACACACACACACACACACACACACACACACACAATTCACACGTTTCGTGGCCCCACAGTTGCGTTGGCATGCGCCCACCGCGCATATTTTGACACACCCCTCAGACGCTTCGCGGCCCCATTGGGGGCTCCACGGGAGAACCAAATGCCAGCGTTCCCGTGCACCCACCGCACCAATTGTGGCACACCCGTCACACGCTTCGTGGCCCCATAAAGTGCTCCACCGATGGCCCAAGCGGTTGCGTTCGCAAGCGCCCACCGCACACATTGTGGCACACCTCTCACACGCTTCGTGGCCCCATAGGGAGCTCCGCCGAAGGCCGCAGTGGTTGCGTTGGCATTTGCCCAAACCTCCATGTTGCCACCCCTCACAAGTTTCGTGGTCTCATAGGGAGCTCCACCGACGGCCCCACAGTTGCGCTCGCGTGCGCCCACCACATTCATTATGTTATACCCGTCGCACGTTTCGTGACCCCATCGGGAGCTCCACCGAAGGCCCAAATGCTAGTGCTCGCATGCACCCACCGCACCAAATGTGGCACACCCGTCACACGCGTCGTGGCCCCATTGGGAGCACCGCTGACGGCCCCAAGGGTTGCGTTCGCATGCGTCCACCGCACACTTTTTGGTACACCCCTCACACTTCTCGTGGCCCCAGAGGGGGGGAGCTCCACCGACGGCCCCAGCGGTTGTGTTCGCATGCGCCCGTCGCGCCCATCTGGGCACACCCTCCCACCGCACCCTTTTTGGCCCCATCACATGCTTCGTGGCCCCATTGGGAGCTCCACCGACGGCCCAAGCGGTTGCGTTCGTATGCGCCCACCGCGCACATTTTGGCACACCTGTCACACTTCACGTGGTCCCATGGACCTCCACCGACGGCCCCAGCGGTTGCGTTCGGATGCGCTCACAGCATCTATTTTGGCACACCCCGTCACACGCTTCTGTACCCCGTGGGGAGCTCCACCGACGGCCCACATGATTGTTTTCGCATGCGGGCCCCCCCCCCCCCCCCATGTTGGCACACCCTTTACACGCTTCGTGGCCCCACAGTTGCGTTGGCATGCGCCCACCGCATGAATTGTGACACACCCCTCACACGCTTCACGGCCCTATAAGGGGGCTGGACCGGAGAGCCAAATGACAGCGTTCGAATGCACCCACCGCATGAATTGTGGCACACCCGTCACACGTTTCGTGGCCCCATATGGAAATCCACCGACGGCCCCAGGGGCTGCCGCTCACATGTTTCGTGGCCACATAGGGAGCTCCACCGCACCCATGTTGGCACACCCCTCACACTTCTCGTGGCCCCAAAGGGGGGAGTTCCACCGACTGCCCCAGTGGCTGCGTTCGCATGTGCCCACCGCACAGATGTTTGACACACCCTTCACACGCTTCGGGGCCCTCTAGGAGCCCCACCGACGGCCCAAATGATTGCGTTCGCATGCGCCCGCCCCCCCACGTTGGCACACACACACACACACACACACACACACACACACACACACAATTCACACGTTTCGTGGCCCCACAGTTGCGTTGGCATGCGCCCACCACGCATATTTTGACACACCCCTCAGACGCTTCGCGACCCCATAGGGGGCTCCACGGGAGAACCACATGCCAACGTTCCCGTGCACCCACCGCACCAATTGTGGCACACCCGTCACACGCTTCGTGGCCCCATAAGGTGCTCCACCGATGGCCCCAGCGGTTGCGTTCGCATGCGCCCACCGCGCCCATTTTGGCACACCTCTCGCACGCTTCGTGGCCCCATAGGGAGCTCCGCCGACGGCCCCAGCGGTTGCGTTGGCATGCGCCTTACCCCCCATGTTGGCACACCCCATCACACGCTTCGTGGCCCCATCGGGAGCTCCACCGAAGGCTTACATGCAGGCGTTCGCGTGCGCCCACCGCACCCAGTGTGGCACACCCCTCACACGCTTCGCCGCCCCATAGGGAGCCCCACTGACGGCCCCACATGCAAGCGCTCGCACGCGCCCACCGCAACGGCGGCGGTGGCCGCAAAGGGCCGGCGGCGAGCGGGCCGGCCTGCCGCAGCGCCGGCCGGCTCGAGAGCGCGGGCCGCCTCCACAGGCGCGGGCCGCGGAAGGCCAACTCGACCGCCGGGGCATCGCGGAGCTCCTGCGCTGACTGGCTGGCTCGGCGGCGGCCAGTCGGCAGCGGCGGCGGCGTCGGTGGCCGCCGCCGCCGTGGTCGTGTTCGTCCTCGTCGTCGTCGTCGTCGTCGTCGTCGTCGTCGTCGTCGTCGTCGTCGTCGTCGTCGTCGTCGTCGCCGTCGCCGTCGCCGTCGCCGTCGCCGTCGTCGTCGCCGTCGCCGTCGCCGTCGCCGACGCCGTCACCGTCGCCGTCGCCGTCGCCGTCGCCGTCGCCGCCGGCGTCCTCGTCGTCGTCGTCGTCGCTGGAGTCGGCGTCGTCGGCGGAGTCGTCGTGACGAGTCGTCATCGTCGCAGTGGAGCGCCCCGTTCCCGCGTGGAGAACCTCGTTCATGGGGCACCCCCTTCGTCTTGGATCCTCCGCCTCCGTCGTGGAACAACCCGCCCGGGGCACCTGGTCCGTGGACCCCACCCCTCGCCGCAGAACGTGCGTTCCTCCTTCTCCTCCTTCTGTTTCTACCCCTCCCTGCACACTCCTCCACAATTACACAATATGAATACTACTCTCCTCTCTCCCCTGGTGGCGTCCGGGGAATGTCCAGCCTCCCTCCGCGCACTGGTTAACACACAGGATTCCCGGGAGTTGGGTCTTCGCTGTTTTTTTTTCAAAATGCTGCTCTCGCTGAAGCGCCGGCCTCATTTTCGGTCTGCCGCTCGTTCCGAATCGTGCTCCCGCTGCAGCGCTGGCCTCATTTCCGCGCCTCCGCTCGTTCCGGATGGTGCTCCCGCTGCAGAGCTGGCGTCATTATTTCCAGTGCCATGCTCCGGCATGGCTTTCGGTCCTTCCAAATAAGCTCCAAAATCTGGAAAATGGCCACCCCGAAAAAAACCATCGGAAGTGACTACACATTCGGTGTCGATTCGTTGATGTTTCGGACCGCAGAAGCCCCCCACTTTGGGGCGTCGCCACGCCATGCTATGTCAGGCTACGCGTCCTCATTTCCGCGCTTCCGCGCTGAGCTTTTTTTTGAAATGCTGCTCTCGCTGAAGCGCTGGCCTCATTTTCGGTCTGCCGCTCGTTCCGAATCGTGATCCCGCTGCAGCGCTGGCCTCATTTCTGCGCTTCCGCTCGTTCCGAATGGTGCTCCCGCTGCAGAGCTGGCGTCATTATTTCCAGCGCCATGCCACGGCATGGTTTTCGGTCCTTCCAAAAAAGCCCCCAAATCTAGAAAATGGCCACCCGAAAAAGCCATCGGAAGTGGTTACACATTTGTTGCCGATTCGTTGATGTTTTGGGCCGCAGAAGCCCCCCCACTTTGGGGCGTCGCCACGCCATGCTATGTCAGGCTACGCGTCCTCATTTCCGCGCTTCCGCGCTGAGCTTTTTTTTGAAATGCTGCTCTCGCTGAATCGCCGGCCTCATTTTCGGTCTGCCGCTCGTTCCGAATCGTGCTCCCGCTGCAGCGCTGGCCTCATTTCCGCGCTTCCGCTCGTTCCGAATGGTGCTCCCGCTACAGAGCTGGCGTCATCATTTCCAGAGCCATGCCCTGGCATGGTTTTCGGTCATTCCAAATAGACCTCAAAATCAAAAAGATGGCCTCCCGAAGAAACCATCGGAAGTGATTATACATTCGGTGTCGATTCGTTGATTTCTTTGGCAGCAGAAGACCCCCCTCCTTGGGGCGTCGCCACGCCATGCTATGTCATGCTACGCGTTAATCTTCGACACCCTGCTATGCCATGTAATGCTATGCCATGCTGCGACATCCGATTGTGCGAATAGAGAGGTGATCTACGCCATGGTAAGGGATGGGAGGGAGGGGTAGGACGTCAGATATGACGCGAGCGCACCTAGCTTGTCCTCCTCCTCCTCCCGCATCCGCCCCCCCTCCTCCTCTGTCTCGTCCTCTGTCTCGTCCTCGGCCTCGTCCTCGGCCTCGTCCTCGTCCTCCTCCGCCTCCCCCTCCTCCTCAACGCCTATTCTCCTCCTCCCTATCCTCCTGCATCAACACCTCCTCGTCCTCCTCGTCCTCCTGCTCCTTCATCCCCCATCATCATCAATCCTTCTTCGTGCACGTAGCTCCCCAAGACGTGTCGGTAGGGCCGGCCGGGTGCTTCGCCTGAGACTTCCTCACCACGCATGAACCTGAGTGTTGTAGTTTGCAGAAGTTTCACCGACGGATGGGGTCGCTCTCAAAACGTGCCTCCCGCCGTAGCGCCGCGCACCTTCGTCTTCGAAGCTCGCAGCCGTTGCGTTGGCCTCGGCGTTGCGCAACTCTCGCCTCGAGAGTTCGCGGCAGCTCCACGGGGGGAGGGCGGAGGGCCCACTCCTCAGAGTGTGGCTCCCGCCTCCGCGCCGCGCACACTCGTCTTAAAAGTTTGCCGGCGAGGCGCAACTGCCGGGAAGCACCCCGAGGCCGGAAAACCACCGAGGACCAACGACCATGACCCGACCGCGAGTCCGCCAGGGGCCGCGCGGCGTCTCAGCCCCTGCCGTCCGATCCTGGCAGAGGATGGCCAGCCCCAGAGAGGCCCCCCTCCGAGCTCAAGCTGGCCTCCTCCTCCTCCTCCTCCTCCTCTTCTTCCTCCTCCTCCCTCTCCTCCTCCTCCTCCTCCTCCTCCTCCTCCTCCTCCTCATCCTCCTCCTCCTCTCTTCCTCCTCCTCCTCCTCCTCCTCCCTCTCCTCCTCCTCCTCCTCCTCCTCCTCCTCCTCCTCCTCCTCCTCCCTCCGCATCATCATCATCATCATCATCATCATCATCATCATCATCATCATCATCATCATCATCATCATCATCATCATCATCATCATCATCATCATCATCATCATCATCATCATCATCATCATCATCATCATCACATCATCATCATCATCATCATCATCTCATCATCATCATCATCATCATCATCATCATCATCATCATCATCATCATCATCGTCATCGTCATCATCATCATCATCATCATCATCATCATCATCATCATCATCATCATCATCATCATCATCGTCCTCTTTTTGACGTGGGCCAGACTCTAAGCGGGAAGGTCGCAGCGTCCGTGTGGCCCAAACAAATAACGATAGCCGACTTAGGCCTGTGAGCGAACAAATTACGCCTGGCAGGCGCAGCAGAATTCGGAAGGGCAAAGAGGCAAAAAAAAGCCGATGGGCCCACAAGGACACTGAGTATGCGCCAGCCAGGCGGTGGGGGGAGGGCGGGCGAAAACCAATTCAAAACCATATCTGAACCTGATTGAGAGGGGGGAGCGCCGAACAGAGTGGACGAAATACGCGTGAAACTAGGAACGGAGCTGCAGTAAGGAGCTTGCCTACACGATGCTGAGCAGGTGTAGCCCAGTGGACTGTATATCCACTAGGATTTCTAGGCAGCCCGAGTAGTGGTGAGGCTGAGCAGTGAGGTGCCCCCCCTCCCCCCGAAATCCCGATAAGCTCCCCAACCCACCATGGTTGATCAAGGCTTGCAGTGACAGGGTACGACACGTTGCAAGACAGCATGGCAAAATACAGTTCCTCCTCCTCCTCGTCCTTCTCCTCCTCCTCCTCTGCCTCTTTCTCCTCCTCGTCCTCTTCTTCCCTCAACGCTCCTCCTCCTCCTCCTCCTCCTCCTCCACCTCCTCCACCTCCTCCATCTCCTCCTCCTCCTCCTCCTCCTCTCCTCCTCCTCCTCCTCCACCTCCTCCACCTCCTCCATCTCCTCCTCCTCCTCCACCTCCTCTCAACGCTCCTCCTCCCCCTCCTCCTCCTCCTCCTCGTCCGCCTCGTCCTCCTCGTCCTCGTCCTCCTCCTCCTCCTCCTCCTCCTCCTCCTCCTCCTCCTCCTCCTCCCTCAACGCTCCTCCTCCCCCCCTGCGAGGCTCTCCTCCGAGCTCGAGCTGATCTGGCGCGACGCGTCGCCGCCGCCGGGCGGCGGCCTCCCAGGGGCGTCGGGCCCGGGCGCCCTCGCGGCCTGGGCCGGCCCGGGCGGCGCTCCTGGCGCCGAGGGTCGTCGGGGCTCGTCGTCGCCGCCGCCGCCGCCGTCGCCGAGATCGTCGTCGCCGCCGTCGTCGTCGTCGTCGCCGTCGCCGGTGTCGTCGTCATCGTCTTCGCCGCCGCCGCCGTCGTCGTCGTCGTCGTCATCGTCTTCGCCGCCGCCGCCGCCGCCGTCGTCGTCGTCGTCGTCGTCGTCGTCGTCGTCGTCGTCGTCGTCGTCGTCGTCGTCGTCGTCGTCGTCGACGTCGTCGTCGTCGTCGTCGTCGACGTCGTTCCCTTCCCACGTCCTCGTCTTCATATTCCTCCTCCTCCTCCTCCTCCTCCTCCTCCTCCTCCTCCTCCTGCGTCGTCCTCTGCCTCTTCGTTCTTGGAAGGAGAATGGTGGAGGGGAGAGGCGAAGGAGAAGATGAGGGGGGAAGGGGGAGGAAGACGCCAGCTGGAGGCCACGAGGCCACCTCTTCGCCCTTGAGAGGGGGGGGGGAGAGTGGAAGGGGGGAGGCGCAGGAGAAGGTGAGGAGAGGGGGGGGGGAAGGAGAAGATGAGGGGCGGCGGCGAGGACCTGCCAAGACGAGGGGCGGGAGGGCAGCTGGTGGCCACAGGGCTCCGCGCAGATCTGCACCTTGGCAGCGCGGCCGTGCTGTCGCCGCCGCTGCTCGGGCGCGGCGCGCCCCCCCCCCCCCCCCGCGGGCCCGCCCCAAGGGTAAAAGGGCGCTCCCGACGGACGCCCCGATCCGACCAAGCGAAAGGGAGGGGGGGAGGGCAAGGGGAGGAGACCTGCAGGGGAGGGCGCGGGGAAGGCGACGAGGGGAGGGGAGGCCGAGCCACCCCGCATCGTAAAGGGCGCGCGACAGGGATTGCAAAGGGCCTCCGGGGGCCACGGCGACGCCGTGCGAGCGGGGCGCGGCCAGCGACAGCGGCCAAGGATGGGCCGCAGGGGAAGGATGCACGGGCAGCCTCGGAAAGGTGCTCGTCCCCTAACTCTGCGGGTTGACTGTTTGACTGTACTGTGAGAGGAGGGGGACCGCTCGGGGGACGGCGGGCGC